GAAGTACCTAGGATGGGATAAATCTTATGAGACGCACTAAATTGCGATAAATATAGAAAATACAGAAAGTGAAAGGGGCAAATGAGGGAATAAAGATAGAAGAAAATAATTAAGAACTCCGCCTTGTTTCCGTCCATAATGTGTTATTCTCGCACCGAGGAGCCTGCTGGTTGAGTTGGTTGTTTCAAGTTTTGTCAGTCGAGGTTGTGGTTGCAGGGTCGCTGGCCGGAAGCTTGGCTATGATCAGCCCCGCTAAATTAGCGCGGTGTGGGTCGGGTGAGCCCTGTAAAGTCGCGTCTTAACATCCCCAAGCGCGTCATCTCCAACCTGGAAGGCGTGTATTGAAATTGTAGGCCGACAAGGAGGGATTGACGACGCCTTCTGGAGATGTAATTTTCGTTGGCCACTTACCAAAGGAACGGGCAGAGATGGCGACAAGTAAGAATATTGCTCCAATGCCCTTCAATGCCTTATCAATTACTAACACCGTACAGGACAGGAGCGCATGCGAGACCGCATGCGCGGGGCAGGGTAAGTCGATTCGACCTCTTGAGGAACGTTCAATATTTAATTGTTGAATAGGAGACATAATGTTGGAGACATTGACTTTGGCTTCATCATTCCCGTCGCCGAAGAGCCCGTCGACGAACCCGAAGAACCTCCAGTCGTCGAACCGTCGCCGCTACCACCACTAGCAACTCGCCTGTCCCTAAACACATCTGCCAAACGAAAACAGCTCGATCGAGATGTATCGCGACTGAGCCAAACCCCAACAAGCTATCCAACAACCAGCCACGATGTCTACAGCATACCCGACGCCAGCACCGAAGCAGGCGACGAGACTGCCACCCACGCCGCGCCGTCCACCATCCTCTCCCAGGCCCCCTCCCTCCCCACCACAACAAACCGAACCACCCACACACCATGACGAAGACGACGAAAGCGAAGACCACCCCATGGCCGACGCCCCTCCCCTCACCACCATCACCACCACCACCAAACCACCACCACCACCACCACACCACCTCCCCCAACAACGCGGCCCCCTCTCGAGCGTAATCTCCGCCACGAAACGCCTCTCCTTCGACCCCTCCTCCCCACCCCCCCGAAACACCACCACCACAAACACCACCCCCACCGCCACCCGCCACCTCCACCACCATCACCTCCCCACCGACATGGAAATCACCACCGAAATGGAAGTGACCGAAAGCCCCGCCGACGCCCCCGGCAGCGGCCGACGCCGCCCGCTGCGTGTCGGCCCGGGGACGCCGCTCGCCGGGTCCAGCGCGCTGCTGCAGCGGGTGATGGAGGAGGAGGATCTGGATGCGGAGGGGGATGCGAGTATGGGGTTGGATGTGTCGCGTGGGAGTGGCGGGGTGGAGAATTCGTCGCCTACTCACCGGAGGGTGGCGAGGAGGGGGAGGGGGAGGGCTGTGTTGGGGGGCTGGGGGAGGGTGGTGGGGAGTGTTGCGGAGAGTGTTGCTGAGAGTGAGGTCGAGTTGGGGGTGGAGGATGATGTGGAAGAGGTGGATGTGAAGGAGGGAGAGGAAGAGGTGGAAGAAGGTGTGGAAGAAGTGGGAGAGGAAGTGGAGGAGGTGGAAGAGGAGGTGATAGAGGAGTCGACTGTCCAGCTTGAAGACGGCCAAACAAGTGCGGATGAGGTGCAAACGGTGGCAGAGCAAGAGGTGGAGGAAGCGCAAGAGGTTGGCGAGGAGGAAGCTGCCCAGCGACTGGGCAGAAAACGTCCCTGCCGGAGCCCACGCGCGCCTTCACCAGAGCTGGGGTCGGGTGCGGCGGAGGATTTGCCGGCGCCAAAGCGACGTCGCGGAAGGCCGGGAGCGAGCCCTGCCCAGCAGCAACAACCTGCTAAGAAACCACGGGGTAGGCAGGCCGCCCAAGTCTCAGCCACCGCGTCAACCATCACCTTCACCACAACCTGAGCCCCCGGCTCGGGCTCGGGCTCAGCCGAGACCGAAGCCGAAGCCGAAGCCGGAAAGCAAAGAAACAAGCAAGGAAGAACAAGGCGGCCGCCAACGGGCGACGACGACAGTGACGGCGAAAGGCCGTCTGGATCTGTACCCAGTCACCGTACAACGGTTCAGCAAGCCACCACGCACTGCAGAGGAAGGGGGCGAACCGGGCTCGACTCCTCCTCCAATGGTGAAATACCATTTACTAGTCGTGGGCGGTGTTCAATGGCGGTTGGATGTCCTCTCTTAAGCTTCTGGCGAGGGAGCTTCATCGAGGCATATATGGGACCAAGCTTGCCAAGAGCGGCGGCAGAGCAGCTGAAGGACGCCGGCCACGAAGGGCGGGGAACAAAAGACGATGTACCGGGCTCTGGAAGCATTCCAGGAGGAGCTGAGGACCAGGTTGTTGGAACACGTAAGTTTACCACCTAACAGAGAGCTTCGTTGGATCTGGAGACTGACAAAGTTAGACCATTGCCCTCGACACTCTCCATTCCCTCCGGAAGAGGGTGCGCTCGGCGCAAAAGGAGAAGCTCACGCTGCGGGACGAAATCCTCCAGATCCGCGCGGAAAGGGAGCAGGTAGCGCTGCGGATGGATGCGATACGTATCCGGCATGAAGCTGATAGCAAACAAGCTTTGGTAGGCCCCCCTCCAACCTCTTTACCGATAGTAACCGGATATTAACCTACCCCAGCGACACATATCACTCTCATCCGCTATGCACGACATCGACATGGCTGTGGAAAAGGGGCAGGCAGCGCCTGAACTGTCTCCCGCCGAGCAGAAAAAGGCAGACTTGGCCAACCTCGAGCTTTTGGTCAGCCGTGTGGCGGATCAGGCATGTACAAAAAGCGACGGTGGCGGGGCGCTGAAGCAGATCAGGGAGTTCAACGCTTTCTTAGAGCGTGCCGCAGCGGTCTTGGAAGGTAGGTAACATTGTATAGTAACGACATGATGAATCTGTCTGATGACCTGGTTGGTATTCGACACATGAGGAATAGTTTCTACAGCGAATATTCGTACACAATGTTTCCCAATCTGATCATGCTGACTTCGGGCCCGACCAAGACCCAGCCAGGGCAGAAAACCTGTCCATGAAGGTCTCCTTCCCCTCTGCCTTGCGCTTTTCCCTCTCCTTGGCCTGTTCCTGCCACAGACCCTGCACCTTCGCCGCCATTTCCGCCTTCGCCCTGTGTTCCGCCCTGAGCGCCTTCTCCTCGGCCTCACGCTCCTCAGGCGGTAGCTTCTCCAGCGCAGTCTTCCACGACGCCACAACCGCCGCGCTCGGCTCGGGCACATCAACCCCCTTGTCAGCAGCGTCCGCCCGAGCCGCAGGCGCCGGCGCATCCTCAAACAGCGTCTTAAGAACGGGCGCCTCGCGGCCCTCCTCCTTCGCCTTCTCCACCTCGCGCTCATGCGCCAGCATCCGATGATACAGCTCATCGGCGCGCATCTGGATATCCTCATCGACCTGGGGATTACGGCCGTGGACACTCAGGTAGCCCAGGGCCTTGAGCAGGCGGCTCTGGGCGTTGTAGCAGCGCTCGAACTTCTGCACCTCGTCGCGGCACATGGTCATGCGCGCCGTCCAGCTGCCCGACTTCATGCACTCGGTCCAGTCGACCTGCTCCTCGGCGCAGTTCTCCAGCGCCGCCCGCCCGATCAGGCCCTTGCGCTCCTTGAAGGCCTCCAGCACGTCCGAGAGCTTCTCGTTGTCCGATTTGGTCTCGGCTTCCACGGCGCTGAGGGGGCGGTAGGTCTTCCAGAGATGGGCGTAGCGGCCGTCGGGGTAGAGGGATTCGGGAGGGGGTGGGGGGGTGCCGGCGGGGGAGGTGGTGGTGGGTTTTTGGTCGGATGATGGTGGTGGTTGAGCTTGCTGCTGGGGGTGGGAGGAGGGGTTGTTGTTGTTGCTGTTGCTGTACTTGACGGGCGACTCCTTTTCGAGGAACTCGCGCAGCTTGGGGTCTAGCCGCCCCAGCGGATCGGAGCCGCCGTTGCCGGAACCAAACCAGCCGTCGAACCAGCCCATTGTGTCGATCGGAGGGGATGCCAATCCCAGTATCAAGCGGTAGATTCCAGATGTTCGATGACGAGGAGCTGCTGTTGCGGGAAGCGCCAATGTAGAATTTAGGCGGGGGAACACGGCAGAACGGAGTGGGTCGAGGAGCATCATGCCAAGACTGCCCGATCTCCACCCAGCATTTGTCGTGTAAGTGAACCCGCCTTTCCTTCCCTCCCTCATCACTCAACAAATTCATCACCCAAATGTCAAATGACGAGTTTTACTCTGTCCGTATTTTTTATCTTCAATTCAAGGTTCCAGAATAGACATACCTGCCAAGACCGGCGAAGTTACAATATGGACGCACCAGCCTGGTCGACCACCCAGTTATCGACCTCTGTTTACATCTTCCTTTCCCCTCGCCGTATTGATTTTGACTTTACTCTTCTTCTCAATTGACTACCGACCGTTATGCGGAGAAAAGCCGCGATTGCGCACTTGTTAAGCCGTGGACGAATCGAGGCAAGAGCTTCTGATTCCCCGAGTCAAACAATCCCTGGCACCGGAGACGACCACGTCGAAATTACGGCGAAGCTATCGCCATTCCCAAACTCTTGTGACTCCGAAATAATCCCCGACCATCCGACACCTGGAGTGCGGTGGGCTGTTTAGCATCGAATGTTCTCGACTCGGCTTCGTATCCGCGATGCTTCAGATTTGTGGTGACTTCCTGGCAACCCCTCGACAACAACCTCTCTGCTTTGTTTCGGCATCCTGCCAAGAAACTTTAAAAACGGCCTAGATTCTCCGAGTCGTGCATCGCTTCGCCGTTTGTTAGCGATTTTGCGGGTGGCTTTTTGTACTCGCTAACGTGGAGAGGGAGGCAAGTTTCATCGCCCCAGGGGTTGCGTGTCAGAGCCTCGCCCAGACCCCTTGTCCGTCCCATTTTTGCACCGTTGAGCCGCAACCCCAAGCCGGAACTTGGACGGATGCTCCAGATGTGCCCCCGACTTCTTGATGCATGTTCTAGACTACCTCTTGGCTGACGGGAGCCGAGCTCGTTCCCAGTTGGCAAAGGCGTCGTCGCCGACTCAGTCCATGATCCAACCCTGCTCCCTCACCCCACCGTTGGGTCATCCTGTTTCAAGAGATACCTAGCGTTTGGATTGCCGGTGTCAGTCGAGCTATTTCCGTGGCAAACATGTGAGCACTCAGCCAGGACCACGACGTCGAGTCGTGATGCCTGGACTCCTGTGTCGCGGATCCGGTATGAACGTCCTGCCGCCATATATTCTCCCCCCTATACCCGAATCTCATTTCGGCTTCTCTCCTTCTCTGTCCTCTGCGCTTCAGTCGTCCGTTTTTCGCTGGTGTCCGGATTGTCTCTCCCTTTTTTGTAATTCACTTCGTGACTGCAGGTCAGCGTTATTGTTCTCTACATTCTTTACACCTCGTTCCTGCTACGATTTTGAACACGCCAGCTTCGGCCTGGCTTAATATTTACACACCAATTCCAAGTGCCCCAACAAACAACAAAATGTATTTCTCTACTAGGGCCTTCGTGGCGGTCCTCCTCGCTACTGCGGCTCGAGATGTGGTTGCAGTTCCTCAGCGAGACAACAACGAGAATCCCGGGTTGGGAAGCGGCGAGCAGGGCAACGACGGGCCGGGCAATGGTCGGCAGGGCGATGGGGGACCAGGAGGTAATGGTCCTGGAAATGGAGGTCCAAGCAATGGCGGTCCAGGCAATGGCGGTCCAGGCAATGGCGGTCAGGGCAATGGCGGACAGGGCAATGGGGGTGACAACGCCAATGGGGTTATACGCATACAGACCGTCGCCAACGCCGCACCAGCAGCCACTCCGATACCCCCCGAGGTGCTAGCAGCCCAACAGTCGAGTGCTGCTGCTGCTGCGTCCGCCGCCGCCGCTGCCAACGAGGCGGCAGCAGCTTCAGGATTAAGACAACCCCCGGGCTTGCAAGGGGCCGAGGCTCCCACTTCACTCCTACCGTTGCCCGGACTGGCTGGCGGAGGAGATGTTGTGCCCCCCGTCGCAGTGGACTCTACAGCAGTGATAGCACCTACGCAGGTCGAATCAGAGCCGGCGGGAGCCGTGACGCAGAGTCCGGCGGGAGGGTTGCAGCAGCCGCCTGGGCTCAACACAGGAGCCGCTACCTCTCTGGCGCCGCTTCCGACGCCGCCGGCTGTTGACACTTCTGTAGGTTTTGTCCGTGATGTTAGAGTATACGTCAACGAGATCTCACTAACATATTCTAGGTCGTTGACACCGCCACAAGCGCTGCTCAGGTTATTGGGTCGTTCACTCAAGTTGTGGGCGGATCAACTACCGCAGCGGGCGCGGCCGGCGCAGTTACGTCCGCTGTGGTGGCGACCTCAGCTACCGGCGCCACCCCCGCCTCCTTTACCCCGATCGTGGCTAGCTCGGTTCCCGCCGTTGGCAACATGGCCACTGATGCCATAGACTCTGCCACCACCGCTGCTGCAGCCGTCGGCTCCTTCGCCCCCATCGTCGCGAGCCCCTCCGCCGACCCAACAGTGGCCCAGGCCTCGGGCCCCTCCTCATTCGTCGCCCCTAGCCAGGGCTTCGTCTTCACCAACGGCACAAACAACAGCCTCACTCCACTCCCCACCGGGGGCGCGGGAACCGGCACCGGTACCGGCTCTGAATCCGGCGCCGGCGCGCTCCAACCCCTGCCCGGCCTAGCCAACGGCACAACCGGCACCGACACCACCACCGGCTCCGAATCCGGCGCCGGCACCCTTCAACCCCTACCGGGCCTATCCAACAGCACAACCGGCACCGGCACCGGCACCGACGGAGGCGAAAACGCCTCCCCCAGCCTGCGCCCCCTCCCCGGCCTCGACGGCAACGGCAACACCAACGACAACACCAACAACGGCAACGGCGACGCCACAGGCACGGACGCCGCCGAAACCCTGATCACCGCGGTCCCCACCCCCGGCAGCAGCAGCGGCGGCGCGGACGCCTCATCCATACTGACGACCCTGACTACGGTCACGAACGGCGTGACGAGCACGCTGGTTACCGCCGTGGCGGCCGCGCAGACGGGGGCGGCTGGTGGTGGTGGGTGGGTGCGGATGCCGTTGGGGGGGATGCTCAGGGCGCGGGGGTGGCTGGGGATGGGGTCAATGGGTCGGGGGCGGCTGGGGCGGTGAGGAGTGGGGTGTGGACTGCTGTTGTGGTGGCGGGGGTGGTGGGTGTGGTGGGGGGTTTGGTGGTGTAGGGTGGTGACTGGATGAATAGGGGTTGGTGGGTGGCTATTTTGTTTTTGTTTGTTTTTGGGGTGTGCTGTGCTGCTGGCAGGCAGTGTTCTGTTTAGAGGTACTTTGGGGTGTCTACGTTCGCCGGCCTGAGGCTGGCTGGTTGGGGTGATAACATGGAAAACGGACACGAGAGAAGGTACGGTGGTTGTTCATGGTTTGGTTGTGCAAACAATGTATATGAAGACCGACGTGTATAAGCCAGCGGTATGCATATCCGTCGTTCGGGTACCTGCCTCTGGATATCCTAGAAAAGCACTTCGCGATGATAACCGATGACCGCTGTCATTCTTAGGGACCGTACAGCCCTGAGGTGATTTCATTACGGCAGTGTCGAGTTTAGTCGAGAACTAGCAGGCTCATTCCATACAGAAGCTATCACATCAGATGGCCTATTCCACCTCGTGCTATGGGCTTCGGCGAACTGCCGTCCCGTACATCCGAAACCTGGGGGGTTTCGCGGGAAAAGGCGGCATCCGAAGGCTTTAAGCGGTCCCCTGATCGATATTCCCAGAATAACTCAGCACCACCAGTTCATGCACACAATTCGCTTTGCCGTTTCTCGGCTTCCCTGATTCAGGGTGCGGACTCGAGCTGTCATCCTCCTCTCAAAGCGTGACCACCAGAGAAAGTAAGCAATACCTCGATGGTGGATCGGGGTGAAAGGGGCGGCGAAGAGTGAAAAATAACAAGACAGACGGGAGTGTCTTGATGGAACACATTCCATTACGCCCTAGCAACATACCTCCCGCTAAATTCCATAGCCGTTAAATCTTCCTACCGGTACGATGAACATTCCTGGAAATCCGGAAACGACTGGTCTCAAATGTCTCAGATCTGACAAGACTGGTTCGAGACACACAAACACGGGTTATCTTCCGGACGCCAGCAGAAACAAACAAAAAGCACCGAGTCAACATGACAGGAATGCGTCTTATCGCGCAGTTCAATTGTAAAGCAGGAGATCTATTGTGGGAATCGCGTATCCAAATGCAAGTGCCCAAACACACCAAGCAACCAGCAGTCATGAAGCCAAATCCAACAGCAACAAACATACCCCTAAGAGCTATCCAACAGCTCAACTCGACCATTGCGAACAAGCAGCTGGAGAAAGAACAAAACCCAAGTATGTCCAGTCTTCCGTTGTGTCCAGTCTTCCGTTGTGTCCAGTCTTCCGTTGTGTCCAGTCTTCCGTTGTGTCCAGTCTTCCGTGTTCCAGTCTTCCGTTGTGTCCAGTCTTCCGTTGTGTCCAGTCTTCCGTTGTA